CATGCGGAAGCTACCTGAGAAATATTAAGTGCGCATGCTCATCAGTTAAACTCGTGGTGAAGAAAGCATGGCGGCTGAAGGCGATCGAAGGAAAAAAGCTCTTCTGTTCTATTATCTTTGAAAACAGAGACGAAAAAGGAATAATTTGGCCCGTAGAGCAGCAATGAATCGACTGTCTACGGAGATAATATCGCCAGAGATATTCACGGAAATATTAATGTTCGGAGCCGAGATTTAATTACTGTACCCCGCAGGGACGACGTGTGGGGAGGCGTGTGAGAGGCGGAGAGACTATTAAAAGATTAGGCGGTTTTTCTTTCATGTACGTCGGCCATTTTTAGGTCACCGGCTTTGTAAAGCCTGGCTTAATTTGTTGAGAATGCGCTCATAGACAAAGCAAACTGATGACATTATTAAATTGTTATTTTCTTTGTTTGAATATGATGTAACTTACCTTTTTAGTTATTATGTATGAAATCACACCATCATTATTTGTGATCTGCTTTTTGAGAGCCTGTTTCCTCTTAAAAGGAACATTGGCAGGTAGCTCAACCACAACCTGAATGTTGCTGAACACCCCCATTGTCCACCTGAGTCTAAAATAACATGATAAAAGATACGTTCAGGTTAACAAATGCAGTTTGTTCTGAAAAGGTTTAAATACATATAGAAAAGTCGTAGTGAGTCTTGAGGAATGGCTCTGATGAAATTTAAGCTGCCCACTGGTATCATATCATATCATATCATATCATATCATATCATATCATATCATATATCTAGATGAGACTAATGGTGCATGGTCATTTGATTAATGCCTTGATTCCCATGTAAGCAAACCACAAAGCAACTAGGAAACAGACTGATAATGCTGCACACACGAAGTTCAGAAAAATCCCATTCAATACTTTAATGTATGACCCCATTCAGCCCTAACGAAAAAGTCTTATAGGATCCTATAGGACTTTTTCGAAAGGGAGAATAGATATATAGTACAGGCTGGGAGACTATCAGGAATCAGCGGCATCTCTTTTGAAGTGTGGTTTAACATACTTAGTTGGCAGATCAGTTGGTACTCGGTTCATCTATTTTGAATGGGTCCTAACAGTACCTGTACTTATCCGTGAATCGATGAAAAACTTTGCGATGACAAATGAGCGATTATGCATGCATGTATTACCAGTTGTACTTGCATAGCACAAATACCATGACCTGGCACTGCTGATACCCTGCTGTGTGCCTAAACCGAAGGTAGTCAAGGCAAGGGATACTAACTACAGTATTTCCTTGATAAGTTGATTAAGTATGCAGAAGCTAGTGATCAGAACTTCTTCGTGGCTCACGTCACATGAAATAAAAGATCACCTTAGTTTTCTTACCTAATGTTGTGATGTCTAGCTCACTTTTCTCTGCTACTTTGAAAGTTTGACCAAAGCTCAGTTGACTTTAAATCTGCCAAAGATCATCTGACAAGCTGGCGTAGCATTCGATTAGTCATGTGTTTCATGTGTGTTGTTTTGAGTTGATGATCTCATTCTTCGGAGTCGATAGTTGTAACATCAGGCGTTGGTTTATTTGTGCTATGAATTCATCTTCACAAATTTTATAAAAGCAGAGGATAATTAATTGCACTTTTTAAAATACATTCCTATTATTCCAATATATCCGCGAAGATACTAATATAAAAAAAAAGCAGAATTACATCCAATAGTTTGAACGAAAACAATTTAATGCGGAATAGCAACAGCATGGCAGCTGACGATGTAGAATCTCCACAACTGGACTATTTACATCCTGAAATCTTTTCTCGAGAGATGCTCATGCACATTTTGACACAAGTGAGTTATTGCTTTGCATGTCTTATATTCATAGATGCACACATGCCTGGAATGTACTTGTGGGTCAGAGTTTGTCTCCTGCTGTCTACACGCAACCGTTTCGCTTGCTATTTTACATGTACATTGTGCATGGCTATATCCTCATGAGTTAGCAAATAAAACAGGTACCTGAAAACAAAGGAGTGCTAATGCATACATTTCGTGTTATGCCTTACATTGTGGATATATGCCCATTTTCATTATTTACAGAGAGGGCTGCAGCTGAATCAGTTTGAAGATAAAGTTACTCTTGTCGACATGTATTATAAGCATGTGATTCCCCTTCCACAGAGAAGATACAGACCGAACAGGAGGGGGAAGTTGATGGTTAAAAAGCAGCAGCTAAAGAGAAAGTTAACTACCCCAGTTGGTGCAGTAGATGCCAAAAAGAGGTATCATTATGATAACATCATTGTTATTGTCTGAAGGAAAGCTAATATATAGTATTTTCACAGGACCTGAGATAATTTTTCAAAATTTTTGATAAAAGAATAATCAAATCTTATCTTAATATATTATATTGGAGAACTGATTTACCTGATGCAATTGATGAGCATTTATTCATATTAAACCCCTGCACTGCATGAAATCAGATATCAGGTTGTAATATCTAGTAACTTGTAAATTATCTTATCAGTGTAGAGGCATATGTAATCAGTATATCTATGTGTTATCATATGTTGTTGTTATTTGTAGCAGATTAACTGAAGAATCATCACATACTACAATGGCTTCCACACTGACAAAATCTACAGAGACACGCCTCAAACCGCCTCCATCATTAATCAGCACAGACAAGAAAACAATTAAATTGAATAAACATACATCAAGTGAATTAAGCAATATTCATATCAAGACTATTGATAGGAAGAAACATGAACAGAAAGCCACAGTGAACACAGATGAAGTTAATAAAGAAGTCCACAAAACAAGTACTGTGCTAGAAACATTGAAAGTTAATGATTCAGATGGAGGTCACACTGTAAAAAAAGTAAAAATTAGGAGGACTACCAGTGAAAGCAATGACAACAGTATAAAACTTGTGGAAAAAGAAAGACTCAAGAGTACTAGTCTGGACTGTACACCCATGGTTCATAAAGAAAAGTCTGTGAGACACGATAAGTGTCAACAATCCAAGAGAGACAAAACATTTGATAGTGAAGAGGTGTGTACTTGCATTTTAATACTTTAAATTTAATTCTTAAAAGATTTCAGTGTATCCAAGACACCAGCTTTATCTTATATTTACCCTTTCTCCTAGTCTTTTTCTCTCTCATGTTTTTATTCGATTTGTGTTGTAATTATTTTAAACCACAAAATTACTGCCGTGTAGGGTGTTAATAGTTAATTTGGTTTCAATCTGTTTAACATTTCAAATATTTACATGGTAGTAACTGATTTTGCTATGTCTACAGACATGAAGGAATGATCAAATCTTTTTGCCAACTACAAAGGCACTTGTTTTAAAGTTACATTTTATGTCTGCTCAAAATATCATTTGTTCGCTTGCAATTTGATTTCTCATTTCAGGTGACTGTCAACAATGCAAGCAGTGGTCAAAAAGAAGAAACTATTAAATCCAAATTTAAGAAAATTACGATATCTTGGCCATAGACCATATTTTTAGCATGTGAATTATTTAATTTGTAACTGATCTATCGGTGCAAATTTAGATACTTGTATCATACCAGTTATGACAAGAATATACTGACCTTGTCATGCCTTTGTGATTACAATGTCAGTTGTTTTTGGAGAAATATAAATTTTACCTACAAATATTCTACTTCAGAGACATATTTTGATGACCTGTAGGGGGTTTATTCAATTTTGTATAACAGATATGAATAAAACATTCTACAACCAGCTGGGAGAGCAAGAGATTTTGTGGATACCTCAGATACTATGTTTGCAGCTCTGTGCTCGTGATTATGGCCACACACAACTTTGCTTCCAGTCTCCAGGACAGTAAGGATGTTTACTTCCAAATTTACTTTGAAGATTTCTGTCACCTGAATTTAACTTAAATTATTACTTTTTTTTTCAGTCAGTGCACTTTTTTCAGTCAGATTAGGCCACTTTCTGTGTTCCTAAATTAAAAGTTTGCAGTTTGTCATGTTTATTTAGCAAGTGTTGTTGATATTTGGCGATAATAACAATGTAATGGATGCAAAAAAGTATTAAAAGGCTTTTTATATAACTGTAACTGTAATGGGGTTGTTAAGTAAAACTTTCTGAAATTTAGGAATTTAATACGGTGTTTAAATCAACTCGGTTAATTTGGGTAGTTTAGTCACTAAAAATAAATTTACTGTTCTTTAGTATTTCAATGTAAATGAGGGTACCTCCCAGGGGCAATGAAAGTATCTGTCATTTACTTGAGGTTGTGCACTCAATGCTTCTGTCCACCCAGTTTTCTACCACAGCAGGGATGGCAGATTAAAGGGGCGATTGCTTCTATCACTTCTGTGTAGGTTTGCCGGATATGAATGAACACAGGGGCCTTGGGTAATTTGTCCTTTGTTTCATATGATACAAAAGTATTCTTGATTTGTTGTTTTGATATTTGGTGAGCCATTTTCCCCCATGCTATTTTTGTTGGTGATATTGCTGACATTTGGGTTTACTGTCATTTAAATATAGATACAAAACAGCAACTGTTACCTTCAGCAAAAAACACCACTAAACATTTTTCAAATGCATTGATGGGACTGGTAAGAGCATGTTGTACCCTACTTTATTGTATTCTCTGATAATTTACACGCTTCATGGTAACAACGATCGCATAACTTCTTGCCCGCGTATGCGGGACGTATGAATCATACGTTGACATACGACGAAAAGTATTGTGCATGCACAAAATTTTTGGACACCTGGACGTACTACGACGTATGTCGGCGTGCTTCAGTGTGCTCTTAATTTATACATGTACAAAATTTACCTATAAATTATTCGACGTACACCAACGTATTGGCCAAATTTTTCATACGTTGGCGTTCACTGGCTAAATCGTCAAGGTGTGACAGGGCCATTACCATGCAGCGCGTAAATATTTATTTATTCTATTTTCATTGGTTGTCTTTCGTTTTGTGGGCCAACACTTGTGTCTTAAAATTAAATTACATTAAAAGAAAAGAAAACGAGACAAAATTTTTTTTGCCTTCAACTAACTGTGAAAATTTTTCATATGCGTTACCGATACATACGTGACAAAATAACGTGACGGTATTGTTTTCTTTTTATGTACAGACACAGATGTGTCTGTACATATTGCCATCACCTGCGTCTGTCGTCGCCGATGGCGATGCCGATGCCGATGCCGATGCCGGCGCCGTGCACTTTCCTTGTAAACACGATAAGTGGAGGGCAGTTTTACTTTTTGGCTTTATATTTACAGAGCTGATGAATATTCATAAAACGCAGGTCAAGTTCGAAAATCAGTATGATCGGGCCATTATTGTAGAAGTTATGCTGTTTTTTCACTTTTCAGCATATTTTTCACATTTCCTCAGATTCAATTCTTAGGCATGTTAACAGTCTCATTATTAAACTAATAAGATACATAAAAGTGTTTGTTTGACATTTCCTGCATCTTTACAACATTGTTAGTTGATTTTGTAAAAAAGATGGTAAACTTGTTATCATGTATTGTGTAATAAAGTTTCAAAAATAGAAAAAAACTCATATCATTGCAGTTTGTCAGATTCAATCATTCACTATGTTCAGAATCTCAGAATGGAAGAAATTGGACATTTAACACTGCTCTGTTGATATTTTTCCCATCTCATCAATTTTCTTAGTTGATCATATAAAAATGGCAGTAAACTGTTAATTTTGTTTTATGTTAAAAATTGTTAAAAATGGAAAAAAAAAAA